ACATATCCTCTTCCTTCCCTTCCTCTACCAAACCTAAGAACACTCGGCGTGAAAAATTCAGCCCAGGGCTTGTAGCTCCCACAAGTCTTACATATTGAGAATTCATTTATTGGAAAGGTAGCTGCCGAAGAGATCCTAAAATATGGATGTTTAGATGGTGATTTTGACACAGAAAGAGGGGAAGGCGAGCAAGTAGGTGTGATGGTCTTGGAGGTGAGGCTCGCCTGGTCACCCTCTACAAGAAAGATGTTGGCGTTAGGGGGAAAGTTGTGGGTAATGGGATTGTGCCAATTGACAGTATACCCCCTTTCCGTCTTGAGTCAAGCGACCAATTCTCTGTGATTACGTCTGGAGAAAATAAAATTGTCATGAACACCTTGGATGACTTAAAACCCTAAATAAACTCGTTTGAAAAAAAAAGCCTTCGCCTCTCTTAAGTTTGTAGATTTCGGTAAATTCACGTGTCTCATATGGGGCACAGATGAAACTTTTTCTGTGAGAATGCCGTCAGTAGTTTAGCTTATGTGTGCCACAGGAAAGCGTTGTCCCATCACTATTCCTTAACATAATTGACAAGTGCGGACAGGCTACGACATAGGCATATCCCTACAACGAGGAGCAGCTGGGGGATGAATTTGTAGTATATCAGAGGACACGAAACTTCCCTGGTGTTGAGCGGTATTGGGAAAAGCAAGTCGGAAGTCATGTACAAACTAGAGAATGTCGTCCTTTGAGAAATGCATTGTAATACTTCAAGTTCCTATGTAAATAAAAAAAAAGAATAGAAAAACAAACCGTATAGCCTTCAACTATCTCTTATAAGGGGAGACCCTGGCGTCACGTCGATTATAGGGTAAAGGAGTAAATGTTAAAGCCAATAGCCATATATTTTGTGTTTCCCGGGCTAGTTGCTAAGAATTAAACGACTCGATTTGAACTGTATTCGAGTACGGGTGTCAGCCAACGGCCTATTCTTAGCATGCACCGAGAAGCTATGGACACCGAGCCTGCTGACACATCAGGAGTTACAACATTTAAGGCGGCACTAAAATATTATTATCTAAACCTGTTTACAAAAATTTAAGTCCTAAAATGGATTTGAACTCAGTTATTACTTCAATTATAGACATAAGTTCAAGTAAGAATGTAAACTCAAAGTGTGGATATCTGTGGAAAGCAACGTCTAAACCTAAGACTATACTTCAGGTATAATTAGGTATACACTTACAACTCCTTTTAATTCTAGTTTAAACATGATCTGAACTTGTTGTTTAGGACACACTTTTACCAGAGTTTTTATTCTAGGTCCAGACAAATGTTTACCCCTTATAGAAACCTCAAGTTTGAACATAGGTTTAAAAATAAAATAAAACCCTAAGTTTTGTAAAGACCTTAAACTAATTGCCCGCTCATTCCCCGCCCTTACAAAACTTAGGGTTTTATTTTATTTTTAAACCTATGTTCAAAACTTGAGATTTCTATAAGGGGTAAACATTTATCTGGACTTAGAATAAAAACTCTGGTAAAAGTGTGACCTAAACAACAAGTTCAGACCACATCCAAACTAGAATTAAGAGGAGTTGTAAGTGTATACGTTTGGGGCCTAATTATACCTGAAGTATAGTCTTAGGTTTAGACATTGCTTTCCACAGATATCCACACTTTGAGTTTACATTCTTACTTGAACTTATGTCTATAATTGAAGTAATAACTGAGTTCAAATCCATTTTAGGACTTAAATTTTTGTAAACAGGTTTAGATAATATTTTAGTGCCGCCTTAAATGTTGTAACTCCTGATGTGTGAGTCCCTGCACGTCAAGTGTACGTGCGCAGACTTAGCCCACGTGTTGACGGCAAGTCTACGGGTTATTCTTAGCATGCAAGGCACGGACACCGTGCCTGTTAAAATTCAGACGGTTCTGAATTGCCTATATCTAAGGTCATGTAAGCAGTGTTCAACTTCAAAAAATTTGATACACTATAACCAACTCGCATGATATTCGAGCTCAGTAAACACGGCGCTCCCTCTATTTTGTGCACCAATCGGACTTTAATCTTCAGTAACCCAATTATACATAGCAAGGCTGCAAGCGACTTGGAGGGTCAGTCCATGAAAATGTGGAGCAACCGGACACTAGCTAAGATTCAACCACTGCGGCTGTGTGAGATGAGAACTAGACGTCGTCTAGACTCCAACCAGAGTTTTCAAGAAAGAAAGAAAGCAAATAAGAGTAAAGAAAATGCATATATAATGGTAGTGTAGTATTATAGTATTATATTAATAGTGGACACGAAGAAGCTCAAAGCCGTTTTGGAAGGTCTGGCAAAAGAGAATTTTTTGCGACCAATTTGGCCTCTGAGAGTGGCGGTGTTTAGGTGATCTGCACCATGGTTAAAAATCCCTGAAAAAGAAAGGAGGGAGTTTAGGCCTATATACTTTTCCCACGACGAAGTTACCCAACGCGAAGGAGGAATGGGCAAAAGAATCCGCAAAGCTCAGTAAAATGACGGGGAAGCGCTTTTTGATGACAGTTTGATGTGCTGCGAAGCACTGTGAAATGACCGGATGGTTTCCCCACTCTTACATCATCATTCTGGGTTATCGACCTCCGCTACCGGGCCATGTGATCATGATAGGCACATCAAGCCCCATCAGCCAGTACTCGGGTTCTGTGGCTATTGTGTATGGTGGTTTGCGAGCTACAAGGTGCTCGAGATGACCGGGTTGATAAGCGAGTTACGATGAGAGATGTATTGGACTACTCGTCCATTTGTAATCAGTAACCGCCATTTCACTCTGCTATTCGGCCTTCAGAACCGCACCGATTATTTCAATAAGTTCAGTAGGCTATCTAGTATTACTTCTCGAATGCCGCTTTAATCAAGGTCTCAACTGACGACTGCATGTGGGTTGCTGCGATCGTCCTCCAATTCAAGTGTATTGCAAGACTTTGGGCATCATATTCTGATAACCCATTATCGCAGACTCGCCAATTCCTTTGCTACTTTTTGACATGCTTAAAAAGTCACCTGAGGAATATCATTCTTTAGACTGATCCGCCCATTATTGGGCCTCTTCTGTGTTTTGAACGCGACACGCATGATGTGACCTGGGTTTGTCAACTGTTCCGCGGACTGGCAGAGCTCTCGATTCTAATGCGACGTTTCTTAATATCCCCAGTTGTAAAATATTTCATCTGCAGTGATCCTTTCCACGTCTACTCCGGAATCAATTCGCTATTCGTAGTGCATATGCCGCCCGCTAGGCCACGGTACCCACCCGTAACCTCTTCCCGGCTTCTCTATCCAACCATCCTAAGGACTTAAAAATTATGACGAGCTTCAGCAGGAGATCTACAAAAATCACTCAGCTCGAAGTACTCATTAGCTTCTCTACGCTTGCAAATTCCTTTTGCATTGTTTGCCCATGTCGATACAACTACGGACTCCAGATACGAACATAATATTTCATACATGCCTGTGTGGATAGAAATTTTATTTAGGGAATATGAAGGGAAATCGAACAGGACTCGCAATAAATCATCCTACCGGGATGAGGATAGGAGCTCGCTGGCCATTCTCTGCTCTGCACTCAATGAAAGAGTCGTTTCGATGACGGATGTGAGGGACGGTCCATCTTCACTTCTTCTGTCATTATAGCCGATCATGGTGTCACGTATCGCGTCCCGATCAGGGTGGAAAATCTTCATGCCTCTGTACCGCCCTGAAGCGTGTTTATTACCCCTTGTCTGTTTCACGGCGAAACACTCCTCGACCATCGTCATCACCATTCCGGCAAACCAATAGCAGGAGCCTCCGAGGAGGTTGTATGACTCCTGTCCTGGTATGTTGATACACTAGCGACGATATGACAAAAATCGACAGCGGGGAATGTATTACGTCCTGGAGAAGGATCGAAAGCGAGGCAATATAATGTAGTGGCGGATCTGGTTCGAACGAATTCATCGAAGGTAGGCTGATCGAAGCTGATAATGGTGTCCATTGCTGTGACGAAGTTGTTCGAGGAAAGTGTCCGGTACCTATCAAGCGATGATGTTTCTTTTGGCGTGCGCTCCACGACTAGGAAAGATCGGAACTGCTGTCGACCTACGATCTCGGTGGCAATAAATTCGTGCTCCCCTTTCAACTTATTATTGTTTATAAATGGCGAGGGAGGACACGAAATATTCATCATGCAAAAGGTGCATATATGGGATGATTAGATTACAGAATATCTGAAGGAGTGAAAGACTAGTAAAAGTATGGTAAAACAACTTGGTTTGGATTGTCAGTCACCTGAATGGGCGACACGTTATTTGAGTTTCGAGATGGTGAGAAAGGTGAGTTGTGAGGAAAGTATTCCATCGCAGCTGGAGATACCGTGTACTACACTTATTGCACCAAACTGGAACTTATAACATGCTGCTGTTGGAACTACATGGCAGGTATTCTTGCCGAACAAAAAAACGTCACCGCATCAACCAACAATAAAACCACACGTGCCTTAACAACGACGACACAGCTGGCACTTTGATCAGGTGTAATCCCGTCGTCAATTGGGATCACTGGCGGTCACACAAGTTGACAGGACCACGGTGTATTGTCCAGAGCAGAACAAGATACAGGCAAGTGCAGCGTACGGTAAGATCTAAGGGTCCTGAAAACTTCCCGGCTACTTATACCAGACAACATGATGATTATGTAATCACGTAAAACTAAAGGGTCCGTGCGTAAGACTGGGGGCACCAGGATTACATCAGGTTACTATTGATTTTGGGCAACTTGACAACCCATAATGAATAATCTTCCACAATCACGATTTTTTCCCTGAAAAATGGTATTTTGGCAGTGATAAGGATGTTGCCACACTCACAACAATATTGGATCCCATTTGAGAACCAAAATGGACATGCTAATATAATAAGTATATAATCTCCAATGCAGAAGGGATTCAAGCCAATACTTTTATTTCCCACTCTGTTAAAGGTATAGTGGGAATTGGCCCAGCCTGGGATTGAACCAATGACCTCCTGGCTTAACTATATGCTGGTGCTCTGACACTGAGATACTGGACCTCATGGTCTAGTATTAGGTGATGGATAATACATATCGTCAAATATATCATATGCAAATGTAGGTCCTCTCTGGCTCTTTTTCATCCAGACTTGTCCACTATGTGATACACACAAATACAATCAGATATTGTATTTCCAATTCTAACACACTCAACCACAGATCAAGATGTTTTCTCTTTCCACCATCCGTCAGAGTTCAAGAAAATTGTCAGAAGTACTTTGTGTTCACTGTTTCAATAATTAGTAAACATCTCAAAAGGTATTATAAATAGCATTACTTTTAAACTGCATTGTCCCTTCTTGTTTATAATTGTCGTGAAACAAATAATATTGTAATTTTCTCTATTGGCTATATTAAAATCATTCGGAAATGGAATTCCAACCCACTAGCTCCTCTAGGCGAGATCGCCGGCTCAGCTATTTCATCTAATAATACTGAAAATTACCTCGTGGCATAGTAGCACGCTTATAATATGCAGGTCTTCTGCCCTACCACAACACTAGACACGGGTATAGCTACATTGACGGTAGGAATAGGTAATTCGCCATATATGGACCCCACCTATCGCATGATTAACTCTTCTCTTCCCCTCTCCAGCGCTCAGAGGATTCGCCGTGTCCTGCGTGCCCGCCACCACGCTCTGGGCCAAATTCGTTTTAAATCCCCACACGTACGTCCCTTAGAGCTCATCTCATCCCTCACCACCAGCACTCTACCCAAAGTTCTTACGCAATGTCTTTTCTTATCTCCATCGGCATTAACATTATAAAGTGGGGAGCTATCCTGGCTGCATTGGCGGCCACGGGATGTGCCATCGCTGGGGTCGCAGTCCTGGCTGCATTGGCAGCCGCGGGATGTGCCATGGTCGGGGGCGCAGTCGTTGTACCGGTGTTAGGTCTTCTAGGTTTCAGTAGCGGTGGTGTAGTGGCAGGTAGGCAGTCCAATATTGACAAGTTATGAAGTGGCACGCCTTATCATTTATGGTCGTAAATCTCTAGGGAGTACTGCGGCAGCCATCCAAAGCTGTGTCTACGAAGGTAGAGTCGCCTCGGGATCCCTTTTTGCGATCGCTCAAAGTCTTGCGGCTACTGCATGATAATTTAGTGCCACTCAGGTTGTTAGGAATGTCCGACTTGGCGCTGCAAATGTATTAGTCGCGTGCCATGTAGACAGCGAGATGACGGGGAAAGTGGCGGCAAGGAGTCGGGGGAAACTGTTTCAAACACAAACCATTTGTATATTCCTGCCTCTAGTGATATGTAACCTGATCAAAAGAATTCCAGGTGAGTCTTATAACTGAAAAAAAATGAACAACACAGAGGTAGATACGACGTCCTTTTAGAGCAGAAGTCGGATGCCATGCTTTTCTACAAATCAGGTACTACGGCACGACACGGTGAACGGCTGTGACAGGGGAGGGATGAATTAAACTTGCCAGCACGCAAGAATGTTCTAGTAGCTAATAAAACTCCTTAAGTATCTGTGCGACATCCGTGGAGAATACCGGATTGCTCTTTGTTCCGAGTCAGGTATGCTTGCAAGGTCAATACCTAGTGAACAAAACTAACAAAGCTCTGAATTGGGAGTTTTGTGAAATACTAGTAATATAGGAGTTTTGACGATATAAGTGCAGTGCATTGCAATTATAGAAAGACTATAATAGACTATAATATGTCGCGGATAAAAGTACAGCCGCTCTAGAAACGCCACAGGAACACGAAGACTCCAAGCGCTCCATCCACCACCACTCGGTCTCTACATTTCAGGTTCAAATTAAAGTTAAAATATGACACTGTCGCAGCGCATGTGCATTGGCTATCTTGCTATGTTAATATTCTGAAATATCGTGTCAAGAGAACCCCTTGAGGTGAAAAAAATCTCATTGTTGAGAAGAGTCCATGATTCCAATGCATGCCTCCAAGTGAAATATATGTCACCACTATCTCATCTTCCAACTCGACACAGAGATATAGCTAAAATGATGGTGATTATAGTAAAAGAATCACCATAATCTATATCCCACTTGTCGTAAATTTTAACTCTTCGCTTCTCTTCCTCAGCGCTCAGAACCAAGCACGGTTCGCGTCTTGCCCCCGGCATCACCCAACGCTCAGTGTCAAACTCATTGCTTAAATACCCACATCTATAGCGCTAGCCCCGAGAGCCCATCTCTTACCCTCATCAACAGTACTCGACCCAATCCCTCGCTCAATGCTTCAATGTATCCCTGCCGGCCTTATGGTAGTTGCTGGAGGAGCGACAGGGTGTGCGATCGGAGTAGTGATCGCCGTACCGATCACAGCGGCCGTGCTAGGCGCTGTAGGCTTTAGCAGTGCTGGCGTGGTGGCAGGTAGGAATCCCCGTGTTTTTAGGATAGAAACCAACACGTCTCAAGACTAAAGAGCACTGCGGCAGCCATCCAAAGCTCCGCCTATGGTGCCGCAGTCGGCGCCGGGTCCGCTTTTGCGATAGCTCAGAGCGCTGCGACCGGTGGCGCTGTTCTCGGTGCTATTCAAACAGCTGGGGGTGCCTTACTAGGTGTTTCAGGTGCCGTCATTCCGTGTATCGTATAGAGGGAAAGATGGCGGCGGTTGCGACAGAGAGGAATACGGATCGAAAGGAACTGGCTTGAACATGAATCAATTGTATATCTATCTCCCGACAATTATGTGATGATTTATGGTGGAAAATATCCCAGTGAGCCTAGAAATACAACGAAAGACGTACAATATGAAAGTAGATACTTATGGTCTAAAGTAGCAATCTGGCACCACGCTTCCATATCAAGGGATGCCATAATATGATGTGGTGGGTCCCTTTGGAGAGCTGTTAAAGTTAAAAGCAGTATGTCTCGGGAAAACATACAGTGCGCCTTTCGACACCCATTATGTAGACTCCTTAGCCTCCCTAGATCTATAGTGAGCTTTTATACCGACTAGTAAATGGGGATCTCGCGAAAGTAGTGTATCTAGCCGTGTCTAGCCGAGCTGGCTGGCTCTCCTAGATGGCTCTAGACAACATAGACGGCAGCCGAGCTAGCTGGCTCTCCTAGATGGCTCTAGACAACATAGACGGCATACTTACTGATCGTCCCACTTTCCTGGTGTACTTGTCAATATTAATAGCTGTTGAAAATATAGGAGTTTAATCCGGCATTTTCTCTAACGTTGTGTGATATATTGTAAAATTTTCAATGACTCAGAAGCAATTAAAGTCCCCGTGGAACTTTCCAGTAAATACTATTACAATGCATTCATTGCATATTTAAGGACCCCAACAACCCACCCATTGCCCTCACCGTGACCTACCCCGCCTTCCCCCAAAATGGCTCATCTTCTCTCTCAAATGAACCTAATGTCCTGAAAACTGCCAAAATTGCGGCTGGAGCAGCGGCGGAGTGTCTCATTAGCTCCCTGGTCCTCGTCCCCCTCACAACGGCGGCGCTAGGTGCTGTAGGAATTGGCATGTCATGCCATTGTTTAAATCTTTGGGGAGTACCGCAGCAAGCATCCAAGGCGTCGCAGTTACCTCCGGGTCTTATTTTTCGATGGCTCAAAGCCTTGCAACTGGCGGAACAACTATGGCCGGTGCTACAAAACTCCTCGGCATGGCCGTAAGGGGGGCTGTGGGTGTGGGTTTTACTCAAACGGCCAGGAAGGTTAACGTTAAGAAAGACCTTGTGATGTTTTGTGCAGCGTCCTGAAAAATGCAGGGTGGTTCTTCGTTCTGGGTAAGGATGTCTGGCGGTAGCGCTTCAAACACCTTAATTCAATCTCTCTCTCTCTTGACTATCATAGACTAATTAGTACTATATAGTCTAGGGGGTCTAGGTAATCTATATAGCTGACCTACTTGTCATAATTTTTTTCCGAATCCCCGATGATTATAGGAGAGGACAGTAAATAATGGTCTGAGTGGCATGAAGTTTAGAAAAACTTGAAGACAATTATTCTTAGGCGAAGGGCGGTTTTAACCTTGGTTATACTTGTAAACACCTAGTATAGGAAATAATTTATTTAGGTATTATGAATTCTTATTACACATAAAACAAAACTAGGTGTTCACTCTCATTCGAACGGAATTTTCACCTTCGCTGAGGTAAGTTCGAAATAAGCATTGGCTTATTTCGCGACGATGAGACACAATACGAGAAGGCCAGCATATGATACAGGCACATGAAAAATTGGAAATAATCCTGCTATCTTACACGTCCACGCGTATAGTAGTCCTGGAGAAGTAAAGTGATTTGTCATCACTAGTTGTAATCCCGTCGTCAATTGGGATCACTGGCGGTCACACAAGTTGACAGGACCACAGTGTATTGTCCAGAACAAGATACAGGCAAGTGCAGCGTCTAAGGTCCTGAAAACTTCCCGGCTACTTATACCGTGCAACACGGTGATTATGTAATCACGTAAAACTAAAGGGTCCGTGCGTAAGACTGGGGGCACCAGGATTACACTAGTACTAACTTGAAGAATCTTCAAATATATTAGCAACTTGATTTCTTCGCCAAATATTATACAGTCTAAGACTCATATTATGCAAAATAACTATATTCACATAATATCGCGACTACAAGGCAGTTTGTAACCTCTAATTTGAATTAATTAAATCATGTCGTCGCTACTAGTACAAATGTATGAAGTTCAAAGTACACTTTGGTGTAAACAGGTTGCACCGTTGTTTTTGGTATATATGGGCACCGTACTTTGTGTAACTTGATACGAACCATATATGGCATCCGAAGTACGTAAACTAGTACTCTAAAGGGCTCCGGATGTCATTTTACTAGATCGATTGGGAAGGCTGTAGTGTCTATGAAAAGAGGGATGGAGGTTAATTTGTGTGATTAATTTTCGCGGAGATTAATTTGCTTTGACGGTGAGCTCCGGTCACAGAAAATATGCTTTAGGTACAAGCAGGCCGCTTTTGAAACTCAGCATTTGAGTTCCAATTTACTTCGACCACAAGATGTGTTCAAGAAGTGTAGACGTGC